CAACATCTCTCTCTCACTCTCCCGCAACATCTCTCTCACTCTCCCGCAACATCTCTCTCTCCCGCAACATCTCTCTCTCTCTCCCGCAACATCTCTTTCACTCTCCCGCAACATCTCTCTCACTCTCCCGCAACATCTCTCTCGCTCACTCTCCCACAATATCTCTCTCTCACTCTCCCGCAACATCTCTCTCCCTCTGCCACTCACTGAAGTTGATGAAGAAGGGCCTGCAGTTGCAGAAGCGCTGGGCGAGGCGCGCCCGGCAGGCCTCCAGGCAGACGTCGTAGGAGTAGGTGGCGCGCGGGCTGTCGGGCACCACCTCGTCCGCGAACCGGCAGCGCCGCTGCTTCACCGTCAGCTCCTCGAGGGCGCTCGTGGCGTACACCTGGCTCACCTCCAGCACCACCTCCACGCGCATCAGGGGCCCCACCCTGGCGGTGGCCAGCCCCGGCCGCGGCAGCGAGTAAACGTCCTGCACGTACATCTGCCACACGCAAACGCGGCCTCTGGTTTAAGGTAAAAACCACAATTACACACCGAAGACCCAAAAAACCTGGTACAGCCATGCATATTGAAATAAAGAGGTCTAGAACCAATCAGAATATGGCGCCCGGTCGACAACGACTATGTAAGACACCAGAGTCTGGCACATCCGCTACAATGATAGGTTATCACGATTTAAGTGAGTTTGAACGTGGCGTTCGAGCGCATTCCCACGTCGCGACGGCAGCGCGCTTCCGTCAAGACTCTCGCTACGCGAAGCGGAGGAGATGGTACGCGCCACCGCTAGCAGAATACAGCTTTAAATGGGAGCCTTCCCACTGCGGCCGCCGGTCGCTGCGTTTTACCTGATGCGGTCCCTTTGTTCGACGTCGCCGGAGAGTCGGCGAAGAGCCCTGCCGATTGACGTACGCGCGCTGCCGTGGCGGCGTGGGAAGGCGCCCTTGTAGTCGGCGCAAGAGAGATGGGGCATACCACATCCGAGGTCACGATGAAATTCAGATTTTCCCGTGCGACCAGTGTACGCGAACGTATATGTAACGAGTGTACCGTGAATACCGGGAATCCAGCAAAACATCAAATCTCCGGCATCGCTGCGGCGTCAAAAAGATCGTGCAAGAACGGGATCGACGACGACTGAGGAGAATCATTACAGGTGACAGAAGTGCAACAGATGACAGAAGGTCCGCAAATTGCAGCAGATTCAGTGATGAGTAAACAATAAGTGTCAGCGCGCAACGACGTTATCGATGTGAAGTTTCGGAGCCGAAGGCCCACTCGCGTATTCTTCGTGACTGCACCACACAGCTTTACGCCTCGTCTGGGCCCGTCAACACCGACATTGGACTGTTGATGGCTGGAAACTCTTTCCTGATCTGACAAGTCTCGTTTCACATTGTTACGTGCGAATGGACGTGTCAGAGTATGGCGACAACCTCGTGAATTCGTCTTTGCATGACAACAGGAGTCTGTTGAAGCTGGTGGAGGCTCTGTGATGATGTAGGGCGTGTGCAGTCGGAGTGATATGGGCCCCCTGATACTTCTAGATAAGACGCACTCATTAATGTCCACTGTGTATCCAGACGTCTTGAGCAAATCCAGCAGGATAAAGAGACCGCCCACGCGCTCAGAATTACTATCAGAGTGGCGCCAGAAACACTATTCTGAATTTAAATTCTTACGCTGTCCACCAAAATCCCCAAATATTTACAGTATTTAGCATATCTGGGATGCCTTGCAACGGACTGTTTAGAAGAGATCTCCACCCTTTCGTACTCTTACGAGTTTACGGACAGCCCTGCACGATTCATGGCGTCAATTACCTCCAGCACTTCAGACATTAGTTGAGTCCATGCCACGTGGTGTTGTAGCACTTCTACATGCTCGCGGGGGCCCTACACGATATTAGGCGGGTTTTTTACTCTTTTGCAAATTTTTGGCTCTTGAATGTATTATATTCCTTTCTATTCCATTCGAGTCAATTTGACAGGGTCGAATTAAGCCCCTGCCTGAAGGAGAATTCTAGTGACTGGCTACTCTGATCGGTAGTTTTCCGGAGTTTCTGCGATGAATGTTTTAATATGCTGCACATTTGCTATAAATGACATACTGAAGTAAATAAAAACAAGTTCAAGAAAAAGTAAATAAAAGAACGACAGAAAATAAATAGATAAAAATATGATAAATAATCAAACGTATAAAATTATAATGCGTTCCTTGTGATTGATGTATTAAACATATTCTTTAAAACTTAAATATACTCACCGAAAAGCCTGAGTTGAAACCAAAATCTCTTAACGTCTCTTCTGCACTGTATGCGGATTTCACGAGCGGCCGAGGCGGTGTGTCATCTCGCAAAGAGATACTAAAAAAGAGTTTTTATTATTGTTATTATTATTGTTATTATTGTTATTATTATTATTATTATAAACTGAATCGTTATGGTTACATCACACAAAATGTATAAAAGTAACAGAAAAACAACATATTCACTATAAGGAATATTGACAACCTCAAAAATATAGTTTCAAGTCGTTCAGAAGTAATTCTCCAACATTAATGCAATGAGGGACGTTTACAACTTGTGAAAATAAAATCAATGTTCACTGTGATTCCGTAGTAAAACATGTTTCTCGAAATATAACAGAACTATTACTTTTTCGTATACGAACGTATATACTAATTAATATGCTTAGTATAGAGAAAGTATATTATACCACGGAAAACTGATTTTGAGATTTCAACGGATATGCACGTTTTGGAATCCCCTGATGCAGCAAGTGTGCTTTTACTTTCTCGTCCATACTTCGTAAGAAGAGAAAGTATTGTAATCGTGCGCCGGGAAACGGCGAAATTTCGACAGAAAAATCTTATTGCTGAGCCTTGGTAACAAAAGTGTGTAAACCTTGTTCCTATATGAAGTAAATTAGTTTCTATAACACGTTGTGTAGTGAGCCTCTACATTTTGTGGGTCTTCGATACCGAAGAATTGACTGACGGCAAAACATTAGTTCGTCCTTTGTCAAAACTAAAGCATAAAGCGTTTAGCTGTTTTCCCAAAATCGATAATCCCGAGTGATTTAAATGAATTCGAGGGCCTCGGAGTTTCAAGTAGTTTCAATGATGAAGTACACTCTTTCGAAATTTTATGTTTTCGCGTAGTTTTGTGAGATGTATAATCATCTTTTAAACCCGCTCCCATTTTTTCTTTAAATTTTCTCTTCGTGTGAATCAGAGTACAGGAAATGGCGTATAGTCTCATTTTCAGTAGAATCTCTCTATTTTAAAAAATTGCAAAAATACAACATTTTAAAGCTTGTGTTTCAACACAGTGTGCCTTTCACACTTGTGCAATTTTCGAAATTTGAGAATTAAGAATGAAAATTGGACCTGTGCAAACTCATAAGAGTATTTCTCTCTAGTGCAAGAAATTTAAAGAAAAAAAATTGGGGCCAATTTTCAGAAAATGTAGAAAATGTCCCAAGAGCATCATTCAGAACATACCCATAATTTATAACTTATTTTCAAAATCACAGGGCTTTGATTCACGCTAAAATTACCGGAGAACATTAATTTTGGAAAAAATCCTAAGAATAGGGGCTAGTGTTTGCAGACGCACAGATGTACGTACAGACGCCAAACGCACAGACGTACGTACACGGGACAGACTTTTTGCACACGAGCAGAGGGACATACAGACGTTTTGCATTGAACCAACTTTTCGGCAAAACGTCTGTGGTCTGGTTCCTCGAGAAAGTTCTTTTAGTGGTCTCAAGGGACCACTAAACATGAAATATGAATTTAAAAGATGTTAGCGGAAGTAATTTACTACGTATAGGAACATGAATTATCCACTTTTTCTGTATCAGGGACCTACAACACGATATTTTTCTGCTGAAAAATCGTTAAATTAAATTTTCACCCCATCATTACATGATTTTCACTATACTACGTAAGTAGTATATGAAAAAGCAAAAGTTGACGTAAGACACTCCCCAAATTGAACTTTAAAAACGATTATTTGAAACCCCAATTCGATATATTTATGATAGTTTTGAACTATTGACAGACTCCGCTAATTACAGTAGATCAAAATATAAAACAACAACAAAATACGAGTATTAAATACGTTTAGAGTATTAGTATATATTAGTATACGTATATCGTATAGAGTATTAAATACGTTGGGAGAGATCATCTCCGGACGTGGCTACAACGCAAAACACGCACTAGAATGCTGTCGATGTTATGAGGAAACACAGTGCTCGAAGTATCAACATCTTTGTATGCAGAACCAATATTGGACAGGATAACCAATGTAATGAGCAACTGACCGTACCAAACGGATGGTGGACTTACTTGATTTCTTTATTATGAAAGGAACAAATCAAAGCTACACATCAATTGGCAACTCTTTTGAACTGCTCCTCCGATCACTTCCTAGCCACCTTAACTATTAGCTCCCATGTAATAGAAAATCATTTGAAATCTAGCATATCCAACAAGAAAACAAATTGCGATGAATTTCAAACACTACTGAAATTAAATATTAGGGAAATTGTGAGTTATCAGTCTAAAAACTGAATTCGATGTAGATGATACAATTGAATATTTAACTATCAGTATTTTACAAGCAGCATGGCCAATTTCTTCGAAACCACTACTCAATAGTAATCTTAAGTGACTGAGATAAAACGAGAAAAAGTATGCTTGATCCAAATGACAATTGAAACTTCAACAGAGCAACGCACAAAACACTTCAAAATGTTATGCAAGATAAATGCACAAAAGAATTCAGTATCTCAAAAAACTGTCAAAAATCCATGATAGATAATATTCCCAATGAAAAGTGACCAAATTTATTAAAAGTTCAGTTAAACAAGTTCGCGGTTAGCATGCTGGGTTAGCTGAGACCAACCTCAAAAGAACGATGTTTGCGCAACATTTTTTATGAGTTTCAACCGTTCCCATATGATAGACATACAAGATAGATACATAAACAAGATATTATTTTTAGTTTATTAAAGCACACTATCAAATGACATTACCAATAAAGCACTTCATGTTTCATCTTATATATAAAAGACAAGGTTTATTTGTTGGTTTGTGTGTTTGATCGTGCTGAATGCACAGCCGTACCGTTCAACCGATTACGATAAAACTTTGTCAAATTATTGCTTGCACTTCCGGAAAGAATATATGGGAACGATAGAAATGTGTATATGCCTGCGCACATAGACGCGCGTTGATGATGATTTTATGTAGACTCAAGGGCACTGTTGCCCTTTATTCCATGGCGCTCTCTACACAACCCGTCGCACACTGAAGTACGATTATTAAGACGTCTTCATTGCGTATTCTTCCCCTACGATTGTGAAATGTCTCCCGGGAGAGACAGATACAGAGAGAATATATCAAGAGAGAGACAGCACTATACTCGCTAGATAGTTTTTCATCTATTGACATCTTTGCAGAGATGTATGTCGAATGCGATTAACAATCACGCGACCAGTAGCATGTGAAGTGTAACACATTGCAATACAGGCACGGGCCCACTAAACGCCGGGTCCACTAAACGCAATAAAACAAATCTACCTTTCACATAACATCTGGTAACGACCTAAACAGCATTGTTCTGAGAAACCTGCAAAAGCACAAGCATTAGTAAAAACAATTTTCAACATCATCTGAATTGGATATTGTCTCTCTGTTAACAGTGTTCAACAAATTATTGACATACCGAAACCGGGCAAAGCTGTCTAAGAAGTATATTTGTACAGGCTTATAAATTTTTTGCCGACATTAACAGTTTTAGTCATTAAGCGAGTACTTCTTTTCACTGCAGAAAACAATATTTCAGACAATCAATTTGGCTTCAGAATGAAACATGCATATACTGAAGAAATCCATAGAATAATAAACGTCGACAATGCAATGCTAGATAAAAAAATACATTGTTCTGGTGTATTTTTGGATGTCTAGCAAATTTTTGAAAATGTTAATTCAGGGGCCTAATACAAAATCACAATAATATTGCCATTCCATTTTTGTGCTACTCCGTTCATCGTATCTGACTAGAAATTCCATTAAACGAAGGAACATGATTATATTCTGTCACCGTCACACTACCACACAAACGTTTCCTTGGTCTGCTACTGACCTATTATACCAGGGCTTCCTACCTGTTTCTACATCATTTTTGCTAATGATCCCCATCCTTTACTTTCCACGAAAATGCCTTTGACAGAATCAGAAAAATCACGAGAAAACCTCGCTCTACTGCACATAACGTACACACTTTACCGCTACATACGAAGTCGTTCGGGTTTACTTTAATCGACCCATAAATAACTAATGATGTCTCCCATTATTTCTATCTCACACACTTTTGGAAAATTCAGATAGTTCAGAGAAAATGAGATTTACATCACTTTTAAGCGTCCTTTGCTCTCTCTGAGGAAAAAAATAAAAAAAACATTTGGAGCTCTTTCTGAGAAAACGTTTCATATATAAATTGCATTGACTTCGATCATAACTTACGCAAATCTATTTGATTTTCAAAAAAATGTTCTACATAATCTTTTTAAGGTTTGGAAAAAATCTTGTGTGCACCAATCAATACTTCCGATGTGTCAGGTTGTCACACAACATTTTTACATGTTTCATACCACAAGCAGTGCAAACAATTTCTTTAAATGAACGATAGATAACATACTTACTTTACGGCTGTGAAATGTGCAACTTGAGAATTAGTTGCGAAGCAGAAACCCACTTCAAATACGGACTCTATTTTAGATGTTGGTGATATGGAAGTAAAATTCCATCGAACCTAGAATCAAATCAAAATTTGTTTCACAACACAACATATGTGCATTATAAAGTTATATTAAAAATGCTTACAATTCGTGTTAGATCACTAGTAACATTATTCAGATATTTAAGAATACATAATTAGAGAAGGCCATAATTATAATTTTTCTAAATGCCTGTATTTTTATCTTTCTCGCACTTTCCCCATAAGAAGAGAAAATATTTTATTATCGTGCGGCGGGACGCGACAAATTTTCGCCAGAAGAACTCTTATTTCCTATAGTAGAGCAGTTCGAATGATATCGAATATTTAATTGATGCACTGTGCATTTAAAAATATATATCAATTTTTAATTGAGATATCCAAAATTTAAAAGAGTAGCCTCTTACATGGAAAACAATTCTGAGTTCTAATTATTAATATAATTAACCTTTCTAGATCCGTGCATATATTCGGCGCTTTGTAAACTCTTCTAACAGTGAAAATAATAGTTCCCAAGTTCTAACAGAGCATTTCTGTTCTGTACTGTAAAGCATTATAGATTTCGTATTATTAGCCAGAAGAGCTAAATCTTGAAAACAGTAATAGAATGTGTAAAAGCGTCTTTTTAGAATACTTCCTAGTCATACACGATAGAGATCGACCCTATCAAGGATCGGCAGGAGCCGATCCAGCCGATCATTTTGGGGGACCATCATAGGTTTTTTAAAAAATAATAAACATATTTGAATAAAAAATACAAAAAATAATTTGTATTGATGTTCATTAGAAAATACAATAAATTATTTTTGGAACAATGATGAAAATTACCAGATGGTAATCCTATAAATATATAT